CTTGTCAGGGCCAGGCAGGCCTTATGTGGCTGAGGCAATCCAATTGTAAGCTGAAACTTGCTCAGAATATTTTGATATTACAATTATACAAAAAAGGGAGGTCATAACATAAGTTAGCAGTGGAAAGTCTGATTTTGCAGACCTTTTCCCGATCGACCCGGAATCTGTCGGACGATAGACGTTGCATAGCTTGTGTCACAGGACCAAAAACCAAGCAGTTTCTTCACATGTCTCTCAGCTCCATGTGCTTCCTCCAGGTCTCTTACTGACTCTCATTCCTGCTTCCTTTCTTCTCCTCCCTGCTTAACTCCACCCTTCCTTGCGTGGGACTGGGGACCTGGAACCTCCCCTTTTCTTGGGGGCCACCCTTTTACATTAGCCTCCATCACTTGCTATGACTCTCTAGATTATATTGATGAGGAAGCCAGGTTCAGAGGCTAGTAACTGGTCCAAACATAAATGGTTAGAAAGTGGTACTTGGGTCTGTCTGTCGGGAGCCCTCATACTTGGCTGCCAGGGTGTGATGTATAGTGCTTTCTAATAAGGAAAGTCCAATTCCCTGTTCACGGGTATTTTGCTTCAAGCCAATTAAAGTCTTTTTCTTACCTCTTAGATGAAATGAAATCTTCAAAGAGCTTTCAGATGCTCATCATTATCCAGAAGCATTTAAGTTCATTCATGCATATTTTATTGTTTTGATGATAAGCCAAAATTAATAGGCACACTAAGCATTTACAATCCCAAGCAGGATATTTCAAATTCATGTTAGATCCTTTAGAGACACTGTTATAAACCTATAAGCAATAAGGACATAAATTAAAAGTTCTTTCCAGTGATAGAGCCTTATATTCTTTTGAATAGTAAGTACTGAGTGATATATTTTTATGTAGTGTGTAAATATTTTTCAAAAGATTGAATAATGTCCTGTGAGGAAATAAATCCCCCTTTTCTATCTTTAGAAAGTGAATCAACAGAATGGCTTGGGGGGACTATATAAGAAAGCAGTGTTATCACAAGATAATTCCAGAATATGAGAATAAAATGACTTAAAT